AGATAATCGAATATTAAGCGATTATCGATCATCGATGCTATTGTGAGTGTCGCTTAGTCGCTCAATTAGCGACTGTGAATACTTTTTAATCGCTCATCCTTCTATTGCTGTTTTTTAGTCGTTGGAGTTTGCGTTTATAAATTTTACACAAGAAAGTGGTAGTATAATGGATAAAAAGTAAGTCAATTGAACTGGAAGTTGTAAAAAATTGTGGAATATATATACATATGTATGTGTCTGAATTGCAGGTCAAATATTGTGAGCAACCAAAGGTAACTTGCGTGGTTGGTCGAGCTAATGCAGGAGAATGAGGACATAGGCAAAGGAATTCGCGGAAAGAGTAGGGGCAGAACCAACATCAAAGTTTACAAAAAACTGCATAATTATTTAATTAACTAGTGCTCGGAAATTTGAAAGGGTGGGGTTTAGTAGCGCTCACAACTATTTCGGGCTATTCCGTCCAAAGGGGTGGCCCGTTCCAAAAACATTTCCACGCACTTGTAGTCAAAGGTCTACGCATTATTTTAACACTCACTTTTGTAATTTTCGGCCACTAGTTTATTTACAAATTGGTTTGAAATATGCCCTTTTTTGTAAAATTCAGAAATTAGCGTACATTTACCAGTCATATTCTCTTTAAAGCAGCCACTTCACCAATACATTTTTGTATTCCCCTTCACTTTACACTTTACTCGATTAGTTATAACTTGCTTTACGACTTTAATATTAACCAATTAATCACAATTAATTAAATAAAAACACCTTCAAAATCACCCGTTTGACTTTGGTTGCATATTGTTACGATTATCCTCGAAACCTTGAGGGATTTCCCAAATAACTTGGGGCTCGTATCGCTGGATTGTTAAATAAATGCTCACGATGACCAAATTGTAGTACAATTAACTTTATTGTACAACAAACAATTTACAATACTCGCTAATACAGTAAAAACACTTAACAATACTTGTTAAAGCAATAACAACGCCTTACTAAACTTGTTAACACAATTAAACTTATAGCTTGCTTATTCGCAACTCACTTCTCTGCTCACTTTACTTGTAGCTTGCTGACTTATAACTCGCTCACTTCGCTGTGACGGCGCCTTTATATACCTGCGCTCGCACTTATGGCAACTCTAGAACGTTCTGAAGTTTATCGCTCATTCTCTTTCTCTCGCTGTTCGCAGTGTTCATCCAACTTGACGTTTCTCTTTGTGGAACATTCTACGTCATTCCTCGAACATTCTGCCTATTTCTCGTTGTTCGCTTCGCGTTGCCGCAGTATTCGTCACACTGCCCTCCACCTAAGTCTGATCGTCCCGATCAGACACACTTGCCGCTCCAACCGCTGCAAGTCTTTCATCTTAGTTCTCGGTCTCCCAGCTGTCTGGATTCGATGCACTGCGTCCATCAGCCGTTTGTCAATCCTATACGGACGTTTCCAGTTACGATGTTGTTCGGAGGTGAAGCCTTTCTTCGGCTGTGGCATGTGCAACAACACCAAATCGCCTTCCTGTAGCTCCTCTCGGCTCGATGCGTTACTGGACATTGCTTCCAGCTTATCTCCGGTGGTGCACCATCTCACATGGTCGTGCTTCTGCCGGCCACTGGTGGTGACCAGACCATGTCTCTTCTCATGGGCACCCTTTTCGCCAGATCTATGCCGCATCATCTGTCCATGACACCCAGACTCCCGCCTTCGTGCTGCACTGCCTTTAGCACATCTTGCTACATCCGGATCCTTACGCTGAAACTTCCACCGTCGTTTCGTATCTCGCTCATCCGCCGATGCCAACTTCATTGACCGGACATGTATAATCTCAACCTTGGCTTCCGCCTTAACTGCTCGTCTTTGCCGACCACCTTTTTCGGGACACTTCAAAGCGCGCCTACTGCTTCCACAGCCGCTTCCATTTTCGGCCACCGGCGTATCACCATTGCAACGTGGTTCAGTGGCTTTCCTCCTGTCGGAAACACTGTCTGGCTCGCCATGACCACTTCCTTGTTGCGACATCTTCACTGAGCCGGCGGAACCGTCACGCTTTTCCTGTATCGGTGAACCACTTCCTTCTCCTGACGAAACCATTTCGTCTCCATCACTGTCAACCTCTGCCCAACTAACCACTTCCGTTTCTGGTGGAATTTTCGGCACTTCCTGTACGACCAACCGTCTGCTGAAGCACTGGTTGTCGTAACCAACCCTAAGCGGCACTTTCCTGTCGCCATAGGTTAGGATCATTCCCTGGAGGTCAATCTTCATGCCT